CTCTCCGTCCTATCATATCGCAAATTTCAACTCCTGTATATCATCTAACAAATTACATTAACCAACTTATTACTCCTTACCTTCCTAGTAAATATAGTGTTAAGTCAACATTAGAAGTAATCCAAATCCTAAAAAGTGAAAAACCCGACAATGAAATCATGGCTTCACTTGATGTTGAAAACTTATTTACCAATGTCCCTGTTAGTGAAACTATTGACATAATTATAAGAAATATATACAGTAACTCATCTTTACCCCCACTTAAAATTAATCCTAATATATTAAGAAAACTACTATTAGCTTGTACTACTGAAGTCCCTTTCTTCGATCATAATAATGATATATATATACAACGTGATGGTGTCTCCATGGGTTCAGTACTGGGCCCGACATGTAGCAATTTCTACATGTCGAACCTCGAAAATAAGATATTTACAGATGTCAAAAAACCTTCCATCTATCTAAGATATGTTGATGATATTCTTATGTTAGTTAAAAATAAAGATGAAATACTTCAACTTCAAAAACGTTTCCAAAATAATTCTGTCCTTAAATTCACATATGAACTCAATACTAATAATAAAATCCCCTTCTTTGACATATTGATAAACACAAATAATAACAAATTTACTATTTCGCTATAAAAAAAAACTACCAGCATAAATTCATGTACATTTAACTACAAGAGTGAATGCCCATCTTACTACAAAATAGCAATTATAAAAAATCTAATACATCGTGCAGAAACTAATTCATCCACAAAACATATTTTTTACAGTGAACTAAAGAATATAAAACAGACACTTATTAATAATAGCTTTCCAAACTATATAGTTGATGAACAAATAAGATGCTTTCTTAGAAATCTCAATACTAAGCAAATTGTACATAATACTGCTTCTACTAATCTCAAACATATTAATCTTCTATATCGTAATCAAATGCATACTAATTATAAACAAGATGAAAATATACTAAAAAAATTAGTAAATACTAAAATATCTACAACAGATCCTGGCAAAAAAAATTAAGTTAATCATATACTACACTAAATCTAGTATATCCAACTCAAATATTCGCAGTGATTCTTCTCCTACATTTAGCAATTTGCAAAAACCAACATAGTTTACAAATTCATGTGCCCTTTGGGAGATTGTCTCTCCAACGAATTAAATAATATTTATGTTGGTCACACCACAAACTCGCTTTCACGACGCTTGACATAACATTTGAATGAAAACTCTAACATTTTTAGGCATTTGAAACAACATGCCTGGCCGCATACACAATTACATAAAATCCTTGTTGAAAACACAATTATACTTAAACGTGAAAACAATAAAGAAAAACTAAAAATTCTTAAAGCTATATACATAAAACAGTTGAACAAAATAAACTATGAATTCTCGACAAATATACTTAAATGTCTATAATGGGTAACAGAAGCTATTGGTTTATACCAACGGCTTCCCATACTTAATATTTCTCGAATTCACTCTCCCGTGGTCATGTGTGACGTCACGAGCTGCGGTGCAATTTTCGCTTCCAGCATCTAATATGCACGAGTTTATCGTTGCTTGGAAATCATCCTTGTAAACAGAAACAGACTATCGTCACATTCTTGCCCGTGTATTGCTTAATATATTGTACTGTAACTGTCATTTTTGATAATGGCTTATGTAGTATCAATATTGTGATTTTCTTTCTTCGTTTAATAATAATGTTATTAAGCTTATCTGACGTTATGAAAAGAATTTACATAAAAAATAGACAATACATGTCTATATTATTTAATGAAACATCTATGAACGAAAAATGCTGCCTAAATACACACAATATATATATATATATATATATATATATATATATATATATATATATATATATATATATATATATATATATATATGTTTATATAACAAGAACAGTATTGAGAAAATAATATGACAATTGAAAAAAATGTTTTTTGTGATGCGTTTCATCCGTTAAGACATTATCGGACCGGGTGTTATGACTACACATTCGCAAGAACGAGAGACGCTGGTAGTTTCAAAATTTTGAAAGAATTTTTTTTTTTTTTTGTGTAATCTTGCCAAATTCATTTATATTCTTTTCTTTATTCTTTCTATCATTGATTTTAAATATCCCACATTGTAATAACAGAAAAATTGCCAAGAACGGGCATACGCTGCTAGAGTCAGGACGTAAATTTACTGTGGCTTAGCTAGTGATATACATATATATATATATATATATATATATATATATATATATATATATATATATATATATATATATATATATATATATATATATATATATATATATATATGATGAGGTTAGGAGTTCGGACATTTTTGAAATGGCTAAAAACGTCAAAAACTCCCGTCTGCAACCATGTATATATGCGCGCACGCGCGCGTGCGTTCCTGTGCTTTTTTATGGATAACGACTGATCTTCAGAGTTTTATTTTTTTTTATTGTTCCTTCTCTTTACTAAAGTCTTTTCATTCTCAGTAATCCGTCGCGTCTTAGTGATATTATCCCCTAGCTTGGGGTGAAATGATTTTTAAAAAAATACAGTGTAACCCGGATATAAGAGACCCGGATGTAAGAGAAACCCGGATATCAGAGAGATTTTCTCTGCTCCCAAATTAGAGCCTGTGTTAATGTTGTGGTAGGATCTACCTAATTTGCATAGTGGAGTACCGACCATATAAATATGGTTGGTACCGGGAAGAGAGAGAGGGAATCAAGAGATTCAACCAGAGACTCTGCCCGACTGCGACTCAGTCAACACATTCTCCAGGAACGGTCTTACCAGGAATATACAACAGACTATATGTAAATATTGTGTACACGTTCTTGTTTCAATACATTTTGTTCTAAGTACATTTTGTGTTGCATTATTATTCCATGCATTAGTCAAGTTTCAACAGTTAATGTATATAAAATAGAACAAACCCGGATATAGGAGAAACCCGGATATAAGAGAAACCCGGATATAAGAGACTTATTCTCCGGTCCCGACAACTCTCTTATATCCGGGTTACACTGTATAAGATGTTATGATTATTTTTGTGATGTCAACGAACACTCGTTGCCACTTTTGCAATATCAACGAATACTTGTTGTCACATTCGTAATGCTCATTGTAGTAGAGACTTTGTAATCGCAGCTACAACTATAGTAACGACGTTGAACAATACTGGTGTCAGACGCCTTCGAATATCACTTGCTCCATAATACTCGCTCGAATAGTAACCACCGAATAATGATCCGAATAGAGAAATAGTATAGTGAATAGAGTATAGAATAGCGGACCGTATAGAAGATAGAATAGAAATGGTGATCTGTATAGTAACAGAGGATAGACTAGAAATAGAGATCATTTAGACGTCACGCGACATCCTATATTTGCGTTTCCTCTATGGTCTCGTGGTCTACATAATTAAATAATGGTATCGCCTATGTTTGCTCACTGGCGATCTATGTTCAAACTCAAGTGTCGGCAACGAAACTTTATTCCTATATAACAATATATAAAGAGAGAAAGAGAGATTGAAGGAGGGAGAGATAGAAAGAGAGAGAGAGAGAGAGAGAGCGATAATAATATCAAATTCGTTGTTGGAAAAGATAATTCAAGTAAGTAAAAAATAGTAAAAAATATAGATCCATGAAGAGAGTTCAATGTGTTTATATATTTATATACAGAGCAATATGATATACATCATGTAGGAAAAAATAATACACCATCGAAGAATTTATTTCGACAGATAATTATTTTTAATAGCTGCCTCATCAAACCGAAATTACAAAATGGTTTAAATTTATCCAGACAATTTTTAAAAAATTATTTTAAAATTAAATCACAAGAGAATAAAAAGTCTAAATTACTTGACCTAGAAAATTTTTCTCACTGGCAGTCTATGTTCAAACCCAAGTGTCGGCAGCGACACTTTATTAGGATATAACAATTATGATGAAATGAAGCTCAGTAAAAGTTACTAACAGAAGTAAATGCTTCAGCAATGAACATTGGGCATATAAGTCGTAGTGCAATTTTTATAGCTATTTTTTGCTTCTTGCTTGCTGTCCTACGGGCTATTTTGAAATCTGTGCAATAAACTATGCATCTTACGAAAGTCTATTCTATAAAGAGAAAAAAATAACCGACTCGACTTAAGTGACACACTTTGAATGCCGTTCATGCAAACTTATGAGGGTTTGCTAGTCATAAATGTATTCATGTATACAACGAGGAAAATTTAACAAACCATAAAGCGATGCCATCAATCCTCTTCCTGGTTTATGGTCTGTCGCTGAGAACAATCTGATGGTTACAAATTCGTGTCTACGAACAACAGTCACTTCCAGACACCAGACTCGAGAGTGGCCAAAAGTAAAACCCAACATTATTTTTTAAAAATATTTCCCCGGGGACAAATTTATACCCTCTTTGCAAAACTCCCATAGAATTCAGTCGATGCCGTCGCCTCGTTTGTCATCCGTACAATAACCAATTCGCTTTTACGGCCACGACCGTAATGTTATTAAAAACGCTCGCTTATGAGTTCAGCGGTGGAGACAATAAAAATGGCGACGATGAGTTTATTGAATGATTTCTCTGGTTCAAAGAGGTTACTTTTCCTCTGTGCTTCATTCTTCGGGCTATTCCATCAACCCTGGAGAATTTAGTGTGCGCCGTTTCTTAAAACTTCTGCGTGTTCTCTCGAATAAGTTACCCGATGGCTCGTAAGTCAAAAATCTGTGTTGCAAGTCACGATCGTCGCCCCTGGCACCTACCCCAACTCCCCAGCATTTTATGATGGTCGGAGATTGTTTTGGTTCGTGATGATGGTGGTGGTTACAGGGAGTAGCTTTTGGGGCCAGTGGAGATGGAGTTTTGATTAGCAGGTGTGTAGGGAAGTATTTTGGATATGGGTGGGAGTGTTTTTGGAAAGGAGACGGAATGCTGAAATGGCAAAAAGTTGTATTATTTAAATATAAGACGTTATGATAGAAAAAAGAAAGCAAAAGAAAGAACTTAGAAAGGGGAGGAGGCAAAAGAAAGACAATGAAAGAAAATAGAAAGGGGAGGAGGCAAAAGAAAAACAATGAAAGAACTTAGAAAGGGGAGGAGGCAAAAGAAAGACAATGAAAGAACTTAGAAAGGGGAGGAGGCAAAAGAAAGAATGAAAGAACTTAGAAAGAGGAGGAGGCAAAAGAAAGACAATGAAAGAACTTAGAAAAGGGAGGAGGCAAAAGAAAGACAATGAAAGAACTTAGAAAAGGGAGGAGGCAAACGAAAGACAATGAAAGAACTTAGAAAAGGGAGGAGGCAAAAGAAAGACAATGAAAGAACTTAGAAAGGGAGGAGGCAAAAGAAAGACAATGAAAGAACTTAGAAAAGGAGGAGGAAAGAACAAAAGAAAGACAATGAAAGAAAGAACTTAGAAAGGGGAGGAGGCAAAAGAAAGACAATGAAAGAACTTAGAAAGGGAGGAGGCAAAAGAAAGACAATGAAAGAACTTAGAAAAGGGAGGAGGCAAAAGAAAGACAATGAAAGAACTTAAGGAAAAAAGAAAGACAATGAAAGAACTTAGAAAAGGGAGGAAAAAGAAAGACAATGAAAAAGAACTTAGAAAAGGGAGGAGGCAAAAGAAAAACAATGAAAGAACTTAGAAAGGGGAGGAGGCAAAAGAAAGACAATGAAAGAACTTAGAAAGGGAGGAGGCAAAAGAAAGAAATGAAAAAACTTAGAAAGGGGAGGAGGCAAAAATTAAGACAATGAAAGAACTTAGAAAAGGGAAAGAAAAGAAAGACAATGAAAGAACTTAGAAAAGGGAGGAGGCAAAAGAAAAATGAAAGAACTTAGAAAGGGGGAGGAAAGAAAACAATGAAAGAACTTAGAAAGGGGAGGAGGCAAAAGAAAAACAATGAAAGAACTTAGAAAAGGGAGGAAAAAGAAAGACAATGAAAGAACTTAGAAAGGGGAGGAGGAAAAAAAGAAAAACAATGAAAAAAGAAAGAACTTAGAAAAGGGAGGAGGCAAAAGAAAAGACAATGAAAGAACTTAGAAAGGGAGGAGGAGGCAAAAAGAAAACAATGAAAGAACTTAGAAAAGGGAGGAGGCAAAAGAAAGACAATGAAAGAACTTAGAAAGGGAGGAGGCAAAAGAAAGACAATGAAAGAACTTAGAAAAGGGAGGAGGCAAAAAGAAAAACAATGAAAGAACTTAGAAAGGGAGGAGGCAAAAGAAAAACAATGAAAAAGAACTTAGAAAGGGAGGAGAAAAAAGCAAAAAAAAAGACAATGAAAGAACTTAGAAAAGGGAGGAGGCAAAAGAAAGACAATGAAAGAACTTTGAAAGGGGAGGAGGCAAAAGAAAAACAATGAAAGAACTTAGAAAAGGGAGGAGGCAAAAAAAAAGACAATGAAAAGAACTTAGAAAAGGGAGGAGGCAAAAGAAAAACAATGAAAGAACTTAGAAAGAGGAGGCAAAAGAAAGACAAAAAGAAAAAAGGACAAAAAGAAAGACAATGAAAGAAAAGAAAGGGAGGAAAGGAAAAAGAAAGACAATGAAAATGAACTTAGAAAAGGGAGGAGGCAAAAAAGAAAAGAAATGAAAAAAAAGAAAGAACTTAGCAAAAGGAAACAATGAAAGAAAAAAAAGAAATGAAAGAAAGAACTTAGAAAGGGGAGGAGGCAAAAGAAAGACAATGAAAAGAACTTAGAAAAGGGAGGAGGCAAAAAGAAAAAACAATGAAAGAACTTAGAAAAATGGAGGAGGCAAAAGAAATCAATGAAAACTTAAAAGGGGAAAAAAGAAAGACAATGAAAGAACTTAAAAGAAAGGAGGAGGCAAAAGAAAAAAACAATGAAAGAAAGAAAGGGAGGAGGCAAAAAAGAAAAACAATGAAAGAACTTAGAAAAGGGAGGAGGCAAAAGAAAGACAATGAAAGAACTTAGAAAAGGGAGGAGGCAAAAGAAAGACAAAAGAAAGACAAAAGAAAGAAATGAAAAGAACTTAGAAAGGAGGCAAAAGAAAGTCAATGAAAGAACTTAGAAAAGGGAGGAGGCAAAAGAAAGACAATGAAAGAACTTAGAAAAGGGAGGAGGCAAAAGAAAGAAATGAAAGAATTAGAAAGAAAAACAATAAAGAAAAAGGGAGGAGGCAAAAAGAAAGACAATGAAAGAACTTAGAAAAGGGAGGAGGCAAAAAAAAAGACAATGAAAGAACTTAGAAAGGGGAGGAGGCAAAAAGAAAGTCAATGAAAGAACTTAGAAAAAGAGGAGGCAAAAGAAAGACAATGAAAAACTTAGAAAAGGAGGAGGCAAAAAAAAAAGACAATGAAAAAGAACTTAGAAAAGGGAGGAGGCAAAAGAAAGACAATGAAAGAACTTAGAAAGGGAGGAGGCAAAAGAAAGACAAATGAAAGAACTTAGAAAAGGGAGGAGGCAAAAAGAAAGACAATGAAAAAGAACTTAATGAAAGAACTTAGAAAGGGAAAAGAAAGACAATGAAAGAACTTAGAAAAGGGAGGAGGCAAAAGAAAGAAATGAAAGAACTTAGAAAGGGAGGAGGCAAAAGAAAGACAATGAAAAGAACTTAGAAAAGGGAGGAGGCAAAAGAAAGACAATGAAAGAACTTAGAAAAGGGAGGAGGCAAAAAAAGAAATGAAAAAAACAATGAAAGAAGGCTTAAGAAAGGGAACTTAGAAAAAGGAGGAGGCAAAAAAGAAAGACAATGAAAGAACTTAGAAAAGGGAGGAGGCAAAAGAAAAGAAATGAAAGAACAATTAAAAAACAAAGAAAGGGAGGAGGCAAAAGAAAGACAATGAAAGAACTTAGAAACGGAGGAGGCAAAAGAAAGACAATGAAAGAACTTAGAAAAGGGAGGAGGCAAAAAGAAAGACAATGAAAGAACTTAGAAAGGGGAGGAGGCAAAAAAAAAGACAATGAAAGAACTTAGAAAAGGAGAAGGCAAAAGAAAACACAATGAAAGAACTTAGAAAGGGAGGAGGCAAAAGAAAGACAATGAAAAGAACTTAGAAAGGGAGGAGGCAAAAAAAAAGAAAATGAAAAGGGAACTTAAGAAAGGGGGGAGGAGGCAAAAGAAAGTCAATGAAAGAACTTAGAAAAGGGAGGAGGCAAAAAGAAAGACAATGAAAGAACTTAGAAAGGGGAGGAGGCAAAAAGAAAGACAATGAAAGAACTTAGAAAGGGGAGGAGGCAAAAGAAAAACAATAAAAGAACTTAGAAAAGGGGAGGAGGCAAAAGAAATCAATGAAAGAACTTAGAAAGGGAGGAGGCAAAAAGAAAACAATGAAAGAACTTAGAAAAGGGAGGAGGCAAAAGAAAGACAATGAAAAACTTAGAAAGGGAGGAGGCAAAAGAAAGACAATGAAAGAACTTAGAAAAGGGGAGGAGGCAAAAAGAAAAAACAATGAAAGAACTTAGAAAAGGGGAGGCAAAAGAAAACAATGAAAGAACTTAGAAAGGAGGAGGCAAAAATGAAAAAAAAAACTTAGAAAGGGAGGAGGCAAAAGAAAGACAATGAAAGAACTTAGAAAAGGGAGGAGGCAAAAAGAAAGACAATGAAAGAACTTAGAAAAGGGGGCAAAAGAAAGACAATGAAAGAACAAAGGCAAAAGAAAGTCAATGAAAGAACTTAGAAAAGGGAGGAGGCAAAAGAAAGACAATGAAAGAACTTAGAAAGGAGGAGGCAAAAGAAAGTCAATGAAAGAACTTAGAAACGGGAGGAGGCAAAAGAAAGACAATGAAAGAACTTAGAAAGGGAGGAGGCAAAAGAAAGTCAATGAAAGAACTTAGAAACGGGAGGCAAAAGAAAGACAATGAAAAGAACAAAAGAAAGAAGAAAAGTCAATGAAAAGAACTTAGAAAAGGGAGGAGGCAAAAGAAAGCAAAAAGGGAAAAAAGAAAACAATGAAAAAGAACTTAGAAAGGGGAGGAGGCAAAAAAGAAATCAATGAAAGAACTTAGAAAGGGAGGAGGCAAAAGAAAGTCAATGAAAAAAACTTAGAAAGGGGAGGAGGCAAAAGAAAAAGACAATGAAAGAACTTAGAAAACTTATTATTTCAAAAGAAAGTCAATGAAAGAACTTAGAAAAGGGAGGAGGCAAAAGAGAAAGACAATGAAAAGAACTTAGAAAATATAGGAGGCAAAAGAAAGTCAATGAAAAGAACTTAGAAAAGGAGGAGGCAAAAGAAAGACAATGAAAGAACTTAGAAAGGGAGGAGGCAAAAGAAAGTCAATGAAAGAACTTAGAAAAGGGAGGAGGCAAAAGAAAGACAATGAAAGAACTTAGAAAGGGGAGGAGGCAAAAGAAAGTCAATGAAAGAACTTAGAAAAGGGAGGAGGCAAAAGAAAGACAATGAAAGAACTTAGAAAGGGGAGGAGGCAAAAGAAAGACAATGAAAGAACTTAGAAAGGGGAGGAGGCAAAAGAAAAACAATGAAAGAACTTAGAAAGGGAGGAGGCAAAAAGAAAGACAATGAAAGAACTTAGAAAGGGAGGAGGCAAATGAAAGTCAATGAAAGAACTTAGAAAGGTGAGGGAGGCAAAACAAAGACAATGAAAGAACTTAGAAAATTAAGGCAAGAGAAAAACAATGAAAGAACTTAGAAAGGGGAGGAGGCAAAAGAAAGACAATGAAAGAACTTAGAAAGGGGAGGAGGCAAAAGAAAGTCAATGAAAGAACTTAGAAAGAGGAGGAGGCAAAAGAAAGACAATGAAAGAACTTAGAAAGAGGAGGAGGCAAAAGAAAGACAATGAAAGAACTTAGAAAAGGGAGGAGGCAAAAGAAAGACAATGAAAGAACTTAGAAAGGGGAGGAGGCAAAAGAAAGAATGAAAGAACTTAGAAAGGGGAGGAGGCAAAAGAAAGTCAATAAAAGAACTTAGAAAGGGGAGGAGGCAAAAGAAAGACAATGATAGAACTTAGAAAAGGGAGGAGGCAAAAGAAAGTCAATGAAAGAACTTATAAAGGGGAGGAGGCAAAAGAAAGACAATGAAAGGACTTAGAAAGGGGAGGAGGCAAAAGTAAGACAATGATAGAACTTAGAAAGGGGAAGAGGAAAACTTACTTGAAAAAAGGAAAAGGAAAGAAGAAAAACGAGAAGGGGAAAGACATTGAAGAGGGGATGAAAATATAAGCTACTTAATCAAAGGATGGGGGGTATATCAGTAACGTGAAGAAATTAAGTTAAAATACAAAAAAGCTTAAGGGGACGAGTAATTTGTTTTAAGTTCACATTGTAAGAGTCCTGGGAGCCAGTCGAGGTAGAGGTTTACAGAATAAGTGGCACAGTTTATACGGTTATGTGCGGAAGAGAACGGTTAAGCCTTGATTTGAACAGGTTAAGATTGTAGCGAAGCAACCCATTACAATTAAAACCCTTAAAGCAAAATAATAAGTACTAATGAATAACATTGAGAGTAATATGCTATAATCGAGAGTGCTGAAAAATTTTCGGCCTACTATATTGACCAAATGACCAGACATCAGAATATATATTAGTAATCATATTCCTATCTTTCAATAATAATAATAATAATAATAATAATAATAATAATAATACATGAAAATTTTGTGTTAAGGTATATAAAAAAATTTAAGTACTATATATATAATGAAATGGACAAAGTCCGACAATAATTTTATTTTAAGCCATTTTATGTTTATACGTTCTTTTTATCGATACAATGCTCTGCTTATAATAAACGGTATTACCGACATTTATCGGCCTGAATGTCCGAGAAATTTTCAAAGAAACTATTCGTCCTACGACAGGAATCGAACCAGTATCCTATACGGAGCCGTCATATAACCTGAGGTGCTTCTACCGATTGAGCCACAGAGGAAGATTTCGGTTAATAAGGTCGATTTTACTGTTTTTAAACTACAATTCTCCATGATTTTCTCTCATACATTCATATCCGCTCGATGCGTATCCAAATGTAAACAAATGACGTCACACAAGAACGTATAAACATAAGAATGTCTTAAAATAAAGTAATTGTCGGACTTTGTCCATTTCATAATGTGCGACATCTTCTCTCCCGACCCAGGTATCTGTAAATAGCAGGATAGAATTTTGTTCTATAACCTAGGAGAAGGAAAAAAACCCTCTTAATTCAAAACTAGCCTAGAACGATTTGGCTATCTTGCTCAAGGAATACCACTTCTACTGTGGCTGCAGTACACATGCTGTCCCTACGACCCTACGGGTTACGGAATAAAAAATAAAATAAAATAAATATCGCTAAAGCTAGACTATGACGACACTTCAGATAAAATGTGCATTTCTTTTTCTAAAAGAAACAAGATCAAACTATAGTCTTTAATATCAAAGCAGTAATTTGAAGCATATTTTGAAAACGTTCGTTGCTCAATGCAGTATTTTTATTGTGTGACAGAAAGTAATCTGAGAGTGGTCAATAGGTTATTGTCCAGCAATTAACGTAATAAGTGCAACATTCGATATGCTTTCGGGTCAAGCAGTTGATAAAGTTTCGTCAAAGAGGTGCTCGCTAAACACTTTGCAGCCCCGGTCAATCAATGCCATATTTAGAGTTCTCTAGTTGCAAGGACGTGACTGAATCAAGTGGGTTTTTCTTTTCGGTGGCCTTATTGTATTTGAGGGTCAATGCATTTCAGTGGCTATGGCGACGATCTAAATGGAGTCTAATTTATAGAAAGAGAATCGGAAAAGGGTTTGATTATGGAGAAGAAGGAGCTTTGGAATTCTTTGAATTTGACCAACTTTGTCTTATAAAATAATAATGGAAAAGGAACCATTTCTTTCTTTCTTCCTTCCTTTCTTCTTTCTATCGTCTATTTTTTTTCTTTCTTTCTTTTTTCGTCTTTTTTCTTTCTTTTTTATTTCGTTCATCTTTTTTCTTCTTGATTTTTTCTTTCAGTCCTTCATTCTTTCTGAAACTGAAATTTCTGGAAAACGAATAATGTAATAATCCAGGAGATAAAGGTGATTTTCTAATCGGAGCTTAGATGTGGCACATTCATCCAAACTAATTTCGTTATTTACAAACCTTTACTCTAAAGCTAATATCATGTAGACATATAAAGGAAACAAGTTGGTATCGGAATGTCTCGACTGGTGTTCGATACTTGCAGCTAAGGCTGACTGGTACCCAACGTAATCAGCTTAGTTCTAGGCCTTAAGAAGAACTCATCGCTAGAAATACTGCAAAACCTCATCGGCTCCTTATACCTCTCCAGAAAGTAACAGACTCCTCCTGACATGCTCTAACTTTATAAGAGTTACATCAGTACAAAAAGGGAATATTCCCACCATATCTTGGTTGAAGTTGGACAATCCTCTCTTTCCAGTTTTGACAGTATTCAAATCGTTTACGCGGCTTTGTGGGTAATTAATTATTTTCTACCCTACAACCTCTTTCTCCGCAGACAAAATGTCGCAAGTCTTTCGTTGCTCAATACTTATTTCCAGACATTTATAGCTAGGACATTCCATCCCATATGCACAGAGTGGAACTATCATCAATCCCTTCATATTCCATTGGAAAAGAAGAAGTTCGGAAAGCTTTTTCCCAAGTGCCGCTAATGTATGGGACAAACTCCGCGGGGTGCTTCCCTTAACAGTACAATTTCTACCTCTTCAATCCCAGGTTATCCACTATTTGTTGTGCGTATCTTCATAAGTTAAACGTATTTCTCCCTCCTGCAACCATATAAAAAATTATTCATTCTCTACTATGAGTGGCTTTAGAACTTTGCATTAGGTAAACATTTGGCAAAAAAATCGGTGCTTCCTTTCAATCATGAAACGAGGTTGTGTCGAAACGGCTGTGCGATCTTTACAATTGTTGAAATATTCGTGTCAATTCTAGATTAGGAATATTCCGGACTACCAGTAACCAGCAAAAGGCCGGGAGAACTTTTGTAAAACGCAATAATCATGCGGACCCTCAACAAAAGCAATGAGCACTCTCACATGATTGAAATATGTTATGTCAGTAAATTCTTTCCTGCAACAATTCGTGTATATGATATAGGTATTAATATTATTATTATTATTGAGGTGTATTAAAACTTGCATTTGCCCGTTTTTACACCGAAATTTGCCCAACTAAAGTCTCTCTATATCATCAATATATATATATATATATATATATATATATATATATATATATATATATATATATGTATTCATGTACGGATATGAGTTTGTGACCCAAGGTTTCAAAGTTTGTCTGATGATCGTAAAAAACGTGAAACGCGGGGTCATAACCTTATATCCTTACAAATGAATGCGTTAGCTCTATTTTAGAGTTACATGAAAATAAGTGGATACGAAGTTTAAAAACGCACTATCTAGACGGGCTTAATCACAAATTTAACAATATAGATAGTATTAATATATAGCCCCAGATATCAGGACCTACCCACATTTTTTACCCGCACAAGACAGACATGTGTTGAGGCCTCACACTAATACACACACGCTCACGAATATACACGCTTACACACATCATACTCAACCACTCCCTAAGAACCAAATAACCCACACACACACTTAACAGAGACACATCCCCTTTCCAGGAACCAATAAAACTGTCAAAATGACCAAGGAATTCAGAGCAGCATGAATCCATCCAGCTCTTATCTCAAATAACTACTTAAAAAGACTGTTTGACCAACACAAGGCCTGACCAAAATTCATGTTAAAAAATGAAAAAATAAGAGAAAAAATTAAAACTACAGACAAAATTCATTTTCTCCATCAAGACATTACTTTCTGTATAATTTTATAATTTATTCTTTAAATAATTTTATACTTTTAAATTTAGTATAGATTAAATTTAAAATTGGTAATTTTTAATTTTTAGTTTTATAGTATAATTTTATATTTATTAGTTAGAATGAATTCTATTTTAGTCTAACCATAACATTATTGCATTAAATAATTATTATAACCAAAGTTCGTTGTCAAGTTTTTTGAATTCTCATATACTTGTATTTTGATTGATGTTACAGATTTTCCCCTAGCGAGGGATGTTTGATCGATTTGAACCTTTTAAAACACTTTATTCTACAGTCAACAACATCACTTGATAAGACACCAGAAGTGTTGAAACAAAATGGCTATTTTTGTAGTGATTTTATAACATATTTCTGTTATAATTTGCGAAGAAATAATTATATTTGCTCTACTCTGTATTGAGCACTCTTTTAAGAATAATATTTGTTAGTTATTGGAATTTCTTCCGTATACACCAATCCTATAATTGGTTATATATATATATATATATATATATATATATATATATATATATATATATTGTGTGTGTGTATTTAGTCAGGCTTTTTTCATTGATACACGTTTCATTAAATAATATAGAAAACTTTTGCCCATTCATTTTATGTAAATTTCTTTCATATCGTCTGATAAGCTTAATAACATTATCATTGAAAGACGAAGGAAAATCACCAAATTGATACATGTTTTTTTTTTTATTCCTATCTAAGCTTCCGGCTTACATAAGGGGTAGTTATATCTTTTAGTTTATCATAGATGTCCTGTTTGCTGCTGTTAAGGCCGTTCTATTTTTCTTTGGCTATTTCAATTTGCCTTTTCACAAGGCTACATTTATAATTCCAAGTGTTGATAGTTTGGTGGGCTGCTGGATCATGTAATTTAAATTGTGTATTTAGGCAGCATTTTTTTCATTGATACATGTTTCATTAAATAATATAGACAAGTTTGGTCTATTTATTTTAGGTAAATTTCTTTCATATCTTCTGATAAGCTTAATAACATTATCATTGAAAGACGAAGGAAAATCACCAAATTGATACATGTTTTTTTTTATTATTCCTATCTAAGCCTTCGGCTTACTTAAGCCATCATCAAAGATGACAATTACATTACAATAAATTAAACAATACACGGTCATAGCAACAATGATAGTCTGTTTTTGTTTGTATGGAAGATTTCCAAGCAACGACAAACTCGTGCATACGAGACGCTGGGAGCGAAAATCACACCGCGGCCCATGACATCACACATGACCACGCGAGAGTGAAAACGAAAAATGTTAAGTATGTGAAGCCGTTGGTATAAAATGGCTTTTGTTATCAATTGTAGGCATTTAAGTATATATATATATATATATATATATATATATATATATATATATATATATATATATATATATATATATATTACTGCATGTTTTATTAAATAATATAGACAAGTTTTGTTTATTTATTTTATGCAAAATCCTTTTACATCGTCTAAGCTTAATAACATTATTATTGAACGACGAAAGAACATAGTCTTCTTATCTTTTGAAAGGCATCTTCGACTATCCCAGTCCATCTTCGGATTTCAGTGTCATAATTTCTGTCTTCTATTAAAACACTTCCTAGATAATGATATTTTTTTTACTACTGTGTTCCATAAGTTCCCAGAATAGAAGGACTGTCTTATCGGGAAGTGCAGTGACCTTAAATAGCGAGTTAGTGGTACACGATCGAAGTGTCAACGTTGATTGATTCCAAATTCATTGTTGCACCATGTAAAACCGTTATATTCAGGCTGATTCGTTTGGGATTTCTGCAAGACATTCTCATCATTGGCATAGCAAAAAGAGAGAACTTAATTGAATAAGTCTTCTTCTTTATGTGCCGTAACCCCTCAGGATGTATACAATCATGGCTCTCCACAACTTCCTCTCATTTATAACACTTAATATATTTTGTCTTTCTGTTAATTCTCCTAAACCCTGTTCCGCTATCCAATTAATCAAGCTCACTATGTTATGCGTTCTTTTCCTCGGCTCCTTCAATCTGTCCTGTGAGTATCAAATTTTCCAAGCCTTCTTTCCTCATTATATGCCTTAGAAATGTCAACTGTTTCTTCCTGATTTTAGGTACAAGTTTGCTTTTTGTTTCGATTTTATCTAAAACTTTGTCTTTGCTCACATGTTTGGTCAATGGTATCCTCATCATCCTTCTGTAGAACCACATTTCTGTTGCTTCATGTCTCTTTTTCATCTTTGGGGACATGCTCGATTACTGTCTATCATAGAGAAGGACTGATATCACATAACGGTTCTGTCCTCTTTTCCTTGTTTCTAGCGAAATTTGTCTGTCTCTTAATAATCTGCTTATTTTTTGAAAGACATCTTTGGCTATCCCAGTGCACCTTCGGATTTCAGTGTCACACATTCTATCTTCTATTAAACACTTCGCAGATAATTTTTGTATATGTTTCATTTTCGTATCAGCGATTTGAAATTTTCACGTTGGTCCCATCGTTTTACTAACAACTTTAGTAACTTCAAAATAATAATTTTGTAAGCTGACACATTTAACGTCGCCTCCTATCTAGTTTTTGTCTCCACATTTTTGGCGGTGACACATTTCTTTTGCTCTCTGGCAATAATACAGTAATCCTTGGGTAAAAGTTTGGTAGTATACGCTGAAATGTGCAGCCTTGTAAATTCTGTTTGATAACACCTTTAAACTGAATATAATTCCTAATAAATGTAGTGTTTTCAATATACACATATTTTAGATTGGAAATTTGAACTTGCGGTCAGCGAAGCGAAAGGTACGGAATTAGTTTTGATAAAGGAAAGAAGCTGGGTCTCATATTTCGACCGATTAAATAAACGAATACTTACATGTCGTAACTACTGTGCTAAGAATTTCTTTTCTCGCACCTTTGATCTGTGGAAATCTCTTCCGGCTCCATTCTTTCCAGCTAACTTTAACCAGCAAAAATTTAAATGCAATTTCAATCGCTATCTAATGTCCTCCTGATTGCTCTTTTCTGTTTCTAATCATTATTAATATTTCCGTTCTTAATTTCCTCCACACCCTGTAAACCCTGGCGTCTTAGTGGCCATACTCCCTTGCTTGGGGTGTTATCTATTCAAAAAAAGAAAAGAAAAGAAAATGACTTCATCTCGGTGCTTGAAACTTTTTACCTGTTTGTGCAAAAATCTAGCATATAAAATTATATTGCAGCATAAAAGGATTTGGAAAGGCAAAGATGTTTCTGTGATTTGACAATGGCTGGTTAGTCCAAGGTCTGGCGATAAACTGCATCCGTCAACAAGGCCTCTGATTGGGAGATTGGAGGTTTTGAGAAGCTTGGAATCACCTCTTGATTGCTGTTGTTCCCTGGTTTACCCAGGGTGGTAGCACCTGTTAGGGTCCCAGCTCTAGGCAAATAGTCACCCCCCCACTAAAACAGAACATTATGAAAGTATAAAAATACATCTTTTAAGTAAAATTACCAACAATAACTTTATAGCAAAATGACCAGCAATAGCTTTTATAGTATAATTACCACCAATACTTTTTATAGCAAAATGACCAACAATACTTTTTATCTTTAGTTGAAGGCACGCAATTGCGTTCAAAATATTTAGATATCGGTAATAAATAACCCATAGAGGTGTTGATATGCCACTAAAGAAAATCAACAAACTAAACAGCGAACAAGAAAGCAAAACACTTTCAGGGCATTTATCCATGAATATATCTTATAATTTTTTGAGAGAAATGAAACTGTATTCCAAAATATAACTTCAACAAAACTACACCATAAAACACGCAAACATGTATATGCACAAAAGCTGAGTATTATCTACCATGTATTCAACTGTGAAGGCAGAATAACATATATTTTTATTACTTCAAAGCCCCAAAGAAAATTAAATTTCGGTATTAAATGAGCTATAAGGAATTGAATTGCCGTTAAACAAACAGAACAAATAAACAATGGCTGTTCAAGTATCGTTGGTATATACTAACCGTATTTTGTTTGATAATTTATACTGCACGCTTGGGTATAATACTTTCCAATGGTCAGTAAGCTGAACTGGACTTTCACTTTACGGAATTCCGCTTGATGTATACACTGGTCAGTGTTCTGATGTTAGTAGCAAAGTTTACACTTTTTGTGACTGTGTGTTCGTAAATTGCTTGAGCGAAGGCCGCTATTGAAAATAATCACTGACTATGAGTATGCTTGCTCTTGTTGTACTCTGTGTGTTGACATAGAGCAAGACGAGAAAAAAAAGATCAATGGCCAGTGACTACAAATACGCTATACTTTAAGAGTCATAAAGTTTAATGGTTGCTTTATTAATGTGATCATGACTCATTGATTGAATGAATTATTAATTCTACCTCGTTTTATTTTCTTTCATCTTATCGCAACGTTAAGGTGATTTTAGATTCTACAACTGTTAAATAAGTAACATGGATCGCAGATAAAGAATAAGGTGGCAAAAAGAGTTGGGAGCACGTCTTACATGCACGGTGCTTTAGAGATTAGGCCACGAGCGCACACAAGAAATCTAGTTATATTGTTACATTCATTCTTGTATTTTTTTTTCGCGCCAAGTAGTTAGTTTTCCTGATTCGGAATCGGTGAAGCGTTCTTCATTTAGGATTTCGGAAATTTTCTTTTCTTTCAGAAAACCTGCTGCAACAGTATTTTCACTATTGTCCAAATTAATAACGAAAAAGAAAGAAAAAAAAATGCAAATCAGATTCAATTACAAAGAAAAAATATTTATTTCTAACCAGCTAAATAAGGGTTCTTGCAAAAATTCGTCACTTTTTGCTGAGAATAATATAACCTATTCTCTGAGTAACACAATGTAAAAAAAAAACATAGCAGAAAACAAACTTAAAAATTACAATGCACCCCCCAAAAGAAAATAGCGCCCCCTGCCGTGTCAATGATAACAATAAAAAAGTGGGGAAGAGCCTTAAATCTTCAGTACACTTTCAGTCCTTTCAAGGTTCAAAAGTTTTTATCTTTTTTCTTTTCTTTCTTGTGTAGACACGGTTTTCTTCTTGGCGACCAAACTCCCTTCTTTCTTCAATTATTTTCCTCCCATCCGCCGGGAAATTATGCTTTTCTTTTACGGCCGCTAGAAGGTGAAAATTTACTTAAACACTTGATAAAACACTTTTTGAAAACGCACGTGTTTGCTCCTTCTTCTTCTTCTCAAACAGCTTTAGCTCCAAACTCCACTTATGGACTCCTTTTCAAACTTTCTTTTCTGGGGCTTTTTTCGAGAGGACTTCTCAAAACTTTCTCTGAAGGGGAAACTTGCCCTCAGCAACTTTGTTACTCATGCATCCTTCACTTATGGGCAAACGCTGTCTGTCTTTTCAGAAGGGAGAGAGAAAACGAACCTCTTCTTTCTAAGCGGTCTCGTTTCCAACTGCTGTTCAGGTCCAGTCCCAGTTCTCCCTTCCCCTTCAAAGGTGGGGTGGGGTTCGCCTTTGAACCGTCCAATCACGGTCCATTAAAAAAATATCAGCAAATTCTTAGGGCCAGTTACACAGTCAGTGTCTTTTGTTCTCCCTTGACCTAAAAATTTTCAAAAATACTGCTTCGCAATTCTTGTGTAGAGCACGCGCGCGTGCGTGTGTGTGTGTGGTTTTGCGTTTTGTAAATGTGTGTAGTAGTGGTGATTTGTGTGTTGGGCTTGTGAATGTTTTATGGTTTGTACTATTTTATTAGTTAATATTTTGTTGGTATCGTCGTTAAACTTTTTTTAACTATTTTTGTGCGAGTGTGTTTATGTGTGTTTCCATCTATGCCTTTATGCACACATACATGCATACAAACATGTATACACACACCCACACGTGTATGATTGTGTGTTCGCGTGTGCGCGTCTGCGTATTTGTCTTTGCGCGTGCATGCATGTGTACATGTGTGTTTAGGCGTGTGCGTTTGTACGTTTGTGCCCTTATAAGCGTAGTTCTTGGTATTAACTATATGTATATTTTTAGTAGGTTGTATTATTTATCTTGTCTCAGTATACGCTTTTATATATTGTATAGTGTTTTCTCGGTTTTTTAATTTTCTATTTTCGCTTTTTATATACTTAGCGTTGTCGTTTGCGTTTTGTAAATAGTGTAGTTGTGGTAATTTGCATGTGTTTTCTGTGGTTGGGTATTGTTTGTTGGTTATTATTTTGTTGATGCCGTGGCTACTGTGAAGAGCGTGTGTCTGTTTCTTTTGCGTTTTGTAAGGGGTGTAGCTGTGGCGATTTGATTTGCGTGTTTTCTATGGATGGGTCTTATTTTGTTGGTTATTATTTGATGATATTATGGTTACTCTTTTCTCGATGGATTGTGTTTGGGATTGGTATGGAATAGATGTTAGGTACGGTGGTTTGTGTTTAAGAGGGGATGCGTTTTGTGTTGTATTTTTCATTCATTTATATTAGTATATAGGTAGCAAAGTAGATGCTTGTTTACATACCTACATTTCCCCATAGGGGCGCAAACGTACAAACGCACACACATAAATATATTCACAAACACAAATACAAAGTCAGACGTGAGCACACGAACACGCACGCATACATGTGTGGGTGTGTGTATGTGTGCATGTTTGTATTTGTGTATACATGCATACATTTACATACATAGGCACACACATAAACACCCCCCGCACAACATACATACAGACAAAAAAATTCAACCGTAATCGAAATTAAATTGTCAAAACTATAACCCCAGGAAAGAAAAAATCATGACGAAAGATTAGCAATACACCAGAGAGCAACGGAGAAGATGAGGAAATAATAAAAAAATCAAAGAAAGAAAGGGAAAAGAAGACATGTCAATAACCAATCAACATCCATCAAGTGAAATTGAAAAATAAAACACTCATACCACAATATATAAGTACAAAAATCGAGAAATATAAGCACTCTAACTACGCTCCGACGAGTAGTGATATATATTCGACCACGAAACTTCGAAGTAAGCAAGACTTAAATGAAAAAAATTTCATGTTAACTCTACACACACACACGCACACACACACACACACACACACACACACACACATATATATATATATATATATATAGAGAGAGAGAGAGAGAGAGAGAGAGAAACATTTTAATGACTTTATTATACGAAGACGCCGGTGGCGAGCAGAGCTCAATTCTAGTTGAAGAGCATTGCATTAGAAGCAGCAACCACTATTTATAAAATCACAATCTCCTTCCGAGTGTTCAATTGAATTATTTCAAGAGCATAAATGTGGATATAAAAGCAAATAATATTTCGCCATATATATATATATATATATATATATATATATATATATATATATATATTAACAGAAATAAGCAGTTCTGAAAAAAAAAAACAACCGCTTAACGATTGCGTGAAAGCATGAAAATGGGAGTAGTATAATTTTTAGCATATAGACAAAAACAGCAGTTTACTGACTACAAATATACAACTTCGTTTGGTGCATTTCAATTGCACCTGGACGGGTGAGAACCAAAAGTGGTTATGCCACATTTGGTTCTCACCCGCCGAGGTGCAATTGAAATGCACCGAAACGAAGTTGCATATTTGTAGCCAATAAATTGTTTTTTATCGATATGAGAAAATTATAATAAATAATTATTACTCTACTATCGGTATTTAGCCCTCTTTTGAATTAATGCTGTGAACGTTAGAACTTATATCCATCTGCAACGACGTTCTGTCCTTCCCTTGCCGTTTTGTTCTATTATCTACGATTGGAAATTTCAGTGTTATGCTGAATATATCGACAGAACTAACTAGAGGTTTGAGACTAGGATTGATCAGTACGTACCAAGTAAGATCCTTCGAAGGCCGTTTGCAAAATTTGCATATACGTTTGAATATTTACTGTAAAACATTTAATAAATAATCCGATCTATGCCTCCCCTTTCCCCAAGGATTTTTCACCATAACCTGCAAAACACTTACAAATTACTAACTGAGAATACTTGAGTGTGTTTATATTAAGTCTAAGTAGCCTTCCCTCTACAAGTAGAAAAAATTGTTGCTGGGTCGAACTATAATTTGCCCGCGTTTTATACTGCTGATTACCTTGTAGTACTTTTTTTCCTCGCTATTTTAGTCGTTGTGTGCACTTCCACTGGCTCTGAATAGCACGGATCGATAATCGATTATTCCCATTTTTGTTATTTTATGGAGTTTGTTTCTTTTATTATCCATATTCTTTTGCATTTTCGCGTTCGTTATGGATGCTTTACTAAATAAATTAATAAAATAAAGCGGAAATATATAAATATGTTTTTTAGAGGAACTTTCAATTTATGTTTTATTTTTATACCACATTCAACCGAATTTTATCTTTAATAATTTTTGTGTGAAATCTTAATTAAAATTTTAACTAAATACTAGTCATTATTTATTTAACATAGTTGATCGTAAAATATTTCAACTTGAAAATTATTTGTCATAATTAAGGCTTATATAATTACATAGATTTTTTTACGTATTTCTAATTAATTTTAAATTAATTGCAATAATTTCAAATATTGATATGATGGAGGAGCTAATATCTAATTAAAAAGATATCTTCTGGAATGCTTTTTTCATAATTAACGACTGATAATGGCAAGGAAAGAAAATGCCACACCTTCAGAGGATGTATTTTTGGTCAGCAATACCCTTTTATCTTTAAATGGCGTCAGATGTTATGTCATTCTACAAGTACTGCTGATAACATGCACCAGTTGCCGAATGGTCGGGTCATCTGCGACTAAACTGATTTCTCCGGCAGGATTTCCTGGTGAGGATGGTGGCTACACACCCAGTAGGGATTAAAAAATTGTGAAAGGATGGATAGACCTTGTTGGATCAGCGAGCAACTAGCACAAAGTGGTAGTCAGAGATCAATAGTTATTTACACAAGCAGAGAAGCGATAACACGGCGTATCTGGGCGAAGAGCTTTCTCGACTGAAGTCAACAGTCAGGACGATGTTACCCTATAGAATAAAAGGGTCTTTGACCAATACAAGCCTTAGAGACCGAGGACGTCGGCTGTGGTATACACTACACACGAAGGATACTCCGGTTTTCAAACGAAATGATCAGGAGAGATGCTCAGCTGCGTTGTGACCCTACAATCACACCGGTTCATGCGACTGATTTTAATTTTTTGATTGACTGCTTTGTTTTTTATGGCTTTGTCAACCTTTTGCAGATTATTTAAAGGATTTTTTTTTACATTGTAAGAAATTTTGGGGGATAATAATGATTTACTGATACAAGTTCTTTCCTTTCATTTTCCTTTACTACCGGGACTCGGAGATTCTCTTGCTTTCTTTCTGGGCCTCTTCTCTACACGTTGTCTGTTGAGTATCTGCTGTTGTTAAGATTGTGTCCGCCAAATATACCCACCCCTGTAGCATTTTTAGTTTCCCTTAAGTTCCAATAAGCTTTATTGGTTGAATAAGTACGGCGATAAAACGCACCTTTGCATTACACGCTTTTCTTTTTACACATATAAGCTTTGTTCTACGAGAGACAGGAAGTTGTGTAGAGGCATGATGGCGCATGCGCTGATAGGGACATGGCCGAGAAAAAAATACTGAAAACAGTAAAATATAGTAAAATGTGTAAAACCAGGATTGCCCCTATTCTGACATACGTGGAAATATGGGAAATAAACATAGGAAGAGATATGACAGATTGAATAGACGAAATATATATATGAATGAAGAAATATCGTTTTAAAGTGTGCTATATTTATGAAATAAAGTGCTCAATATCAGAGATAAAGCGTATGTAAATATAAATATAAAAGTTAACATTGAAGTCAAAACTCAGAGGCGACAGGCTGTTTCATGCTAGACACAATCATCAGGAGGCCTGACGATTGCCTCTAGCATGAAACAACCTGTCGCCTCTGAGAGAGTTTTGACTTATAATCAATGTTAATATATATATATATATATATATATATATATATATATATATATATATAGTTCATTGGCATCTGTTCGTCCGTCCATCCTCTCAAATAGCCTTACATTGACCGATCGAAATTAAATTTTGGGTAGAAGTGCAAATAGGTTAGGTGATTCAAAGTACATTTGGATTTACTAGGGTGCGAAGCTTTGTACAATAAATTTTGGCGGAAAAATTGAAAGTGTTATTATTTACATACAAAATACTCCCGTTATTTTAAAAACAGTTTAGTGATTAAAATAACAAATCAGTCAGTCATGTGCCATGACCCTTAGGCGATCATGTATCTTTCGATACATGACTGTTGAGGCAGATTTTGTTCCCGTAGTAGGTTGCTGTTTTTTTCTGCGGTAGAACAGTTGCCATCCATCCAGTCTTTCCTGCTATTTTCTTATAACTGGGGCGGGGCGGGGTGAGAAGAAGATGGTATTATCACGTAAGTGAATGTAATGGATTCGACTGGAATTCAAACTCGGTTCTCCGTTATCTCATTTCTCGACGCCGTAAGTTACACCACCCGCACATCCTGTCCAATGAAATGTAGACAGTAGTAGCAGTAGAGAATATTTCAATGAACAAGCACACCCTCAGGTATGTAACGTGAATGACAGACGCTTAGATAGATGACTGACGGCGCAGATTTTTTTTGCCGTAGTAGGTTGCCATTTCTTTCTGAGGTAGACCAGTTGCCATCCAGAACCCAGTCTGACCTGCTATTTACTCTTTTGGGTAAATAACAGGACAGAGAGAGAAGAAGAGGATATTTGAGGATTCATACCTTTCATACGCAAATGAATGGAATTGATTCGACTGGAATTCGAACTCGGCTCTCCGATTCCTCAATCCGAGCTGCTATCAATTACTCCATAAGGAATAAATACTTATTTATTAAAAATGCAATACTGTTTTTTTTCATATCTTTTTTAAAGTTTTTGTATATACAAGAATCCAGTTTCCAGTTCTCCCCGCATTTGCGAGAAGTATAAACAAATCAAAAGGCCCAACGCATCAAAAAATTGGAATTTGGTTCCAAGAAATATTTGCGTATTATCAGTTGTATGCTCAAGAGTATGAAATTCTAAGAATTCATTATTCACAGTTAAAAATGAAAAAAAGAAATTTTCTTAAAAGGTAATGTTTACCATGAAGTCTTAAAAAATTAAATTAAAGAAATTATTAAAACCTCAAGTAGGTTTTTTGTCAAAGTATTTTTTCTAAACAAATCAGCTTATTCAAATTTCATCGATTGGTTTGTGTAGAGTTTGTAAACAGCGATAAAAAATATTATCGATACTATCAACAAACTTAAATACTATGAAGACTTCAAGATGCGTTAGCGTGTTGAAAAAAATTCTAGTTTTTAAAAACAGCCACAAAAATCGGAAACAGATAAGTTTTAAATTTACTAAAGTTGCACATTTAAAAGAATCTCAATATTGAAAGCTTGGTAGAAAATTTGTTTTTAAATCCCGATAATTTCTTAATATTTCCGCTTCAAGTGTTGCAATGCTTGGCATCGTCTGGGGACAGAAGATTAGAAAGGATTTATTTTGTATAATTCTCATAACACTTTACTTATGTTCAAGGAAATCCTTCTATGTTGACAGCCAAAAAATTATAGTGATCTAATAATTCTAATAATTTCTGAGGATAAATTGCGAAAGTTGTATCATGTACATTATGAAAAAGTAATCGATTCCGTCAATATATGCACCATTTAAAATCAGATTTAACTAGGTACAAACATGAGATCGCTGGAAAATGAGCAGAGCAGTATAATAATGGCCTTAAACTTGACGAAAACTAAAATTTATCGTCAAAATATTTATGTTTTTATTAAGAGGAAAGAAGAAAGTAATTTTTAATTATCTTTAAAAAAAATTCCGTCTTTATTAGAGCATTCTAACTTCTAATTGGAAAACCTAGTTTCTCTTCATCAGCGAATGTCCTACTAAATAACATGGCAGATTTTTTGTGCATCTTTTTTAATTGCAGTCATTAATTTTGAAAATCTTGCAAAAATAAAAATAATTGTCAGATTTTAATGAAACTTTCAGAAACTATTCATAAATGATGGAGATTATTATAAATATGTTTATTTTATTTTAAAGTCATGGTAACTTTTTTTATTTATTACCCCCGCCACCATAACTAATTTTATAAAAACTCTGATTTATTAGTTAAAAGCACAAGGCTTTGAGGAAAGCAAAGCATTTTTTTAGTTGACACCCTTCTACCTTAAAATCAGCTCTGAATTGTAACATACAAAACTCAATAAAACAAAGGTATTATTTAATTTCAAAAGCTTTTAGTTGCTTTTGCTTGTTTTTATGAATATGGATAATATTGTCTGAAAGCAAAAAAAAAAAAAAAAAAGAAAAAGGTTTTTGATAAAAAAAAAGATTTTTACAATAATTATTTGTTATTTCTTAAATTATTTTATATTTTTACATTAAAGTAGTTAAATATTCTAAAATTAATGAAAATCATGTACAGTTTAGTCAATGGTGTTATTAAGTAGATAAATATCATTACAGATTATAAACTAAAGCTGGTTACAATCAGCAATCTGCAAATAGATAAAAATCTAATATAACAAAAATAGCTTAATTCAAATATACGGAAGACCGGAAGCATCATGAAAACAATAGTCCGTTATGTGGTTTGCGGTGGTAGTAACATAAACATTTTGACGATAAAATTCTGCTTTCGTTAAGTTTAAGGACGTTTTTATCATGCTATGGCTACTTAAAAATAACGAGGTAAATAAGATGTTCACATAAAGCTAAACTGTCACTTGTGACCTTCCGTACTATAACTTTCCCTCCTGTAAGATGAAATCACGCACATGTCACTTGTCAGTCAACACCTCTGTTAAAACCGGCTTTCTATCATTTTAAAGTACATTTTTTTTCAACGCAGAATGTAAGAAATATTTGTTTCAAAATATATTAAATAAACTTTATAAGTTTCTTAAATTAATTTAAAAAAAAATCATAATTGATTTTTTAAAAGAATTTTAAACGGAGAATTTTCACTTTTGTAAACAAAAGTTAAAAAAAAGTGATACGACCGATTTTCTGTCAATTTGGCTGATAAAAAATATACAAAATTTGAAACAAAATTTTGGTCGTGCTAGAAATTATCAAAAAAATGTGAAAAAAAAAATAAAAAATTTTTTTTCTCTTGATAATAACATAAACATTTAGACGAAAAAAAGTATTTTCATCAAGTTTGAGGTCGTTATTATCCAGCTATGTTCATTTTCCAGCGATCTCATGTTGGTACCTAGATTTAACTATGGAATACTGACCACTGTCCATAACTGCGAACACACAGACACGAGTTCGTGTGTAATCCGAACTCAGAGTGACCATTTAAAATTGTTTGCTCTTGCTAATAGTATACGCACACACAGACACAGGTAGAAAGGTTAAATGAAAAACAAATAAAAATAAAAATATTGAACTCTGACCCCTGCATCTGTTGAACAAAAATCAAAATATTTCTTCTTTTATGAGCCGTGCCCTTTCAGAACGTTGGTGATCATGGCTCTCCCAAACTACCTATCATTTGTAACTCTTTGCCTGTTCCTTTTCTATACCTGCCGACCCTTTTTTTCGGTTATACGAGCTCCTTAAGTAATTGCTCTAATGAACTTTCTTCTTTGGGAAGTAGATTTTATGAATTTAAGCGCAGTACTAGATTGGCGGAAAGGTCTCATCATTTTAGAGTTGAAATGCTTTGCTGTAACCGTAAGTTCTATGCTAACAGTTTCTTCTCTCGCACCTCTCGTTTATGGGACACTCTTCTGATTTTATGCTTTCCAGTCAACTTTATCTTCAAAAAGTTAAATGCAATGTCAATCGTTATCTTCTGTCTTCTTAATTCCTGTTCTGTTATTGTTCTTACCCATTAATATTTCCTTTCCTCATTATGATGAGGACAACAGTCCAAACAATAAATAATTACAATACCTCATCTCAGAAATATAGACAGATCCTGAAGAAGGACGGGGCGTACAATGGCCGAAATGTCGTAAATATGTCAATAAAGATGAGGACAACAGTTCAGACAATGTAAATGGTGTAAATAGTTACAATACCACATCTCAGAAATATAGACAGATCCTGAAGAAGGCCGGAGTTTACAATGAACGAAATGTCGTAAATATGTCAATAAAGATGAGGACAACAGTCCAGACAATGTAAATAGTGTAAATAGTTAAAATGCTGCATCTCAGAAATATAGATATATGTTGTAATTATTTTATTGCAAACTAAAATGTGATAATTTTATCTAACAACATTCTATCCATTATCCTCAAAGTTGTTTGATCAAATACTCAGTAACACCTTGCGTCTTAGTGGCTTCATTGCCTTACATCTGCTTAAATGATAAAGAAAGTTATATCACTTGATGTTCTCTTTTGTCTCTCATACATACGATATATCCTGTGAGGGTCAAAATCTTTGGGCTCTTTTTCCTCATATGTCCCTGAATTTGTAACTGTTTCTTTCCATGTACAACTGAACATTTTAGTTTCATTTTTCTTAACACTTCTTTGTTGCTGAAATGCTCCGTCCATAGTATTCTTTGCACTATACGTTGAATATTCCAGATTAAGTTGTATCCCGGAAACACACATACACATATATACAAGATTAAAGTTTTAGTATTATATAGATATTTCAAACCATTGGAAAATCAGTAGATGACGAAGGAATAAATTATGCATCCTTGAAATGGAGAAAACACGTACACAAAACATCATTTACTAATAGTATGTACGCGAACAGCACAACCCTTTCTAAACATATATGGGAAATTAAAAACGAAAAAAATAATACACAAGATATATCATGGAAAATAAGAACAACTGCATCAACCTACAACAATAAATCCCAAAACTGTAAACTCTGTCTGGAGAAAATAGCTATAATCCCCTTCCCAAACAAACACAAATTACAAAATCAACGATCAGAAATTATCTCAAACTGCAGACACAAAATTTACGATGTTACTTTAAAACTGAAAACTAAAAAATGAGTGACTGGTAAAACATCCCCAAGATATCTATCTATCTATCTATCTATCTATCTATCTTTCTATCTATCTGTCTATCTATCTATCTATTACAGTCTATTCATATCTATCTACTAATATCTATCTTTTACAGCCTATTAATTTCTATGTAACTATCTATCTATTACAATCTATTAATATCTATCTATTACAGTCAATTAATATCTCTCTATCTATATATTACAGTTTATTAATATATTAATATAATATTAATATATAATTATTGATATTAATATAATTAATATATAAATATATATATATATATATATATATAACAGTCTATTAATATCTATCTCTAACGGTCTATTGATATCTATCTATCTATCATCTATCTATTACAGTATATTAATATCTATCTATTAATTAATATCTATTTTACAGTCTATCAATTTCTATGTAACTATTTATCTTTTACAGTCTATTAATATCTATTTATCTATTCATTGATATTTATGAATCTGTTACATTCTATTAATTTCTACCTAGCTATTTTTTATATATATATATATCTATCAATTATATTCTATATATATATCTATCTATCTATGTATTACTCTATTAATATCTATCTATCTATCTATCTATCTATCTATCTATCTATCTCTCTCACTATATATATATATATATATATATATATATATATATATATATATATATATATGTATATAGTGAGGTCTACAAGAAAAAAAATTTAAATCGCCATATTAAAAAAAAACACACTCACTTAATTTTCAAAAAAATTCAACCTTAGATTTGCGACTGCATGATCTAAAAGTTTGTCCGTTATCAATAACACATTTAAAAAAAAAAAGAAATAAAAAGAAAGATATTTCGTTTGGCATTATATTTTTTCGTCTCGGAAGTTACCAAAAAAAAAATAATTTCCATGCCTGAAGATGACTGAAGGTACAGTCGAAAGTACTTGCGTATTAAAGAAAGACCTTATATAGCTTATAAATTAAAAAAAAAAAAAAAAACAAACATGGATCATGACAGTCATCAAGTGATTGGTAGGTTAATGCACATTTAAAATTTGTTAGCGAACGGATTTCACCAATTTATATAATTAACTTTAGTAATTTACTTTTTGTACGAATGATTCATTGTAATTTTAATTGAACTGCACCACATATTTGATATATATATATCGATATCTATCTATCTATCTATCTATCTATCTATCTATCTATCTATCTATCTATATATATATATATATATATATATATATATATATATATATATATAAAAAAAAAGAACAGTAAGATATATAATCCGGTGTTCTTACAGATATTTTTTTTTTACAAAATAGTGCTCAATGTAAATTTACAGAGCATTAATATTATAAATAAATTGATTTAAAATAGTGTGTGTGTGTGTGTGTGTGAGAGAGAGAGAGAAAGTCATAGATAGATAGATAGATAGATATCTTATATGATTCTCTCGTAGTCTGTTCCTAGGTATTTAAATTACGCTTTTAAATAGAACAATTATTCATCGACTGAAATACTTTTATCTCTGCCTGTTCTGGATTGACTCTGACGACTATTATTCACAATTATTCACCATTACTCTTGGACGCCTCCAACTCCCCAATTGGCATGGAACATTTGCTTAAACTGATATGGAATGAAGAATCGAAATTTAATATCTTTGGTCAGTGATAGTCGTAAAGAAAGATCGGCAAATATTAGAAATGGGGCTTCGTTAGGTCAAAGGTTAAACAAGATGTGGAGGTTTGAATATCTGAAAAGATTATCGTTGAGTTTTAACGAATTAAGGGAATTATGGAGATTAGTCTTTTCGAGAATTATTGCATCATGTTCTGCTCTTATATGCACGGTTGGTTGTCGGATCTCCAATATGATAAGGACATTGAAAATATTTTAGGGCTTACGGCCACAACAAATTTAACAACGGTTCCCGTACGATCACAGAACTTAAGCAACGTCGAGCCTTGACAGTATCTAGATGGGTGACCGTTTTGGAATATCAGGTGCTGTAAGGTTCGATGTGCGGGTGGTGTAATGGATAATGGCACGTAATTCTAAATCGCAGAGCTGAGTTCCAATTCCCGTTGGCTTAGGTATATTCACATACGCGCAAATAACCTTGGGAAACGTATGAATCAACCTCTCATCTATAGGTTAAATAGTAAGACTTGTATTACTAAGCTATTATTATCTAAAACAGAAATCTGACAATCTAAAAATATTTTCTGGCTTTTAATAACCTGCTAATGGTTGATAAGCCGTAAAAAACCAATTAATCAATCAATGAAAAAAAACTTTCCTTTCTAGGAAATGGGATGGCTGCCCCCCCCCAAGTAAAGTGATAATGTACTGGGAGAGTGAAAGCGAATGAGAAACACTTTAGTGAGCAGGAAGGCGGAAAGAGAAAATTAAGGAACATGTTTCAGGAAGACAGCAGACAACGGTTGAAGTTGCATTTAAATTTTTAAAGCTTGTAGTTATCAGGGAAGCAAGAAATCAGAAGGGAGTTGCACAAGTGCAAAGTGCTAGAAAAGATGCTATAGTATAAGTGGCAGTTGCATTTAGCTATTTCAACAGTAAAATGGTGGGGGCTTGTTGTCAATCTAGTAGAATGCTTAAATTTATGTAGTCGTAGAACCAGAGAAAAAAAAGATCGTATATATATATATATATATATATATATATATATATATAAAATTTGACCAGCACAGCTGGAGTTGAATCTCCAACTGCAGACCAACATACAATATTTACTACTGTATTTATGTGAATGGGGATATACCCATTATCGATCTTAGGCATGCTACAACACTTATACAAAGCAATAAAACCAAATATTTTTTTAAAATCATTTCACTTAAGTAAGGATATAAGGCCAATAGAACGCAGAGATTACAGGGAGTGAAAATGAAAGAGAATAAGAAGACTGAGAATTGAGGAATGGACAAAAAAAAAAAAGGAACAAGGTTCAAGAAGACAAAAAATGACGATTGACGTTGCATTTAAATTTTTGAAGATTGTAGTTATCAGGGAAGCAAGAAATCAGAAGGGAGTCGCACTAGTGCAAAGTGCTAGAAAAGATGCTATAGTAGAAGTGGCAGTTGCATTTAGCTATTTCAACAGTAAAATGGTGGGGGCTTGTTGTCAATCTAGTAGAACGCTTAAATTTATGTAGTCGTAGAACCAGAGAAAAAAGATCATATATAAATCATTTTCATCATATCTGTCTTCCTCAGTTTGTTTATATATTTTTTATCATTATTGCTTATATAATCCCGATAGAACGCAGGGGTTTTACTGGGCGTTAAAGACAATGCGAAAACTGAAAATTGGCAAGATTGAGAAAAGGACAAAAAAAGAAACAGGTTCAAATAGACAGAAAATGGCAATTAACGTTGCACTTAAATTTTTTAAGCTTGTAGTTATCAGGGATGCAAGAAATCAGAAGGGAGTTCTACAGCCGATAAGTGTAAGAAAATTAGAATAGAACAGACGGTTGCATCTAGCTAGTTCAATGATAAAACGGTATGATCTAGTTGTCAGCGTAGTAGTCTCTTGCGTCTTAGTGGCATTATTGCCTTGATTAGAGGTTAAATAATTAGAAAAATATTTAATTATTATTTATTTATTAAGGTTTTATTTGCTTTTATGAATGAGATATATTATGGAAACTATTGCTTTAATTTTTTTTTTCGATGAATAATGAATTTTTACAAGAATTCTTTATCTTTTTTAAAATTTTACTTATGATAATTAATAAACTTCTAAATCTTTTAAAGATCTGTAATAATTTATATCATTTCGGTGATATCGTTATAAAGTAAAAACTATATATATATATAACCATAAATGGAAAAGCTTACTACAATTCGGCGATCCCCAGTATTTTAAAACTCTTGTTTTTTTTGTGTGTGTGTGAGTGTATATAAGCGGTTTAGTGATTAGCTACTTCAATAATTAATATGTATAATAAATTTAAAATTTAAAATTTAATGGTAATTTTCTAACATTTTCGTGATTAAGTCAAAGGACTTGAAATTCAATCAAATATTAGATTAGAATATTTTCCCATTTTTTAAGGTAGTAGTTAAAAAATTATATAGGAAATGCGTTCACGTTGTATTTCTCCAGCAATTTTTACACTTATGTGCCCTTTACATGAAAATACCAAATATGAAGCTATCGATAAATCTATCAACGCACCAGGAAAATCACCCACCTCTGTGTTAAAAAATGATTTTCTGCAATAGTTTAAACTAAAAGTAAGTAATAAGTGTCTTAATTCAGATTAATTAAACTCGAAATCAGTTCATCTTCCTTATATAGAGTTTCAGAAAAGTATAATTTATTTTTGAAATATTTTTAATGGAGAGAATTATGTTATCTTGACAGATTGTCAATATAGCCGAATTTAGCGATTTCGAAAAAAAAATCATTCCAATCAATTTAAATTCGATTTGAAATGCAACAAATTATTTTACTTATTGGAAATATTAAATTTAATATGTTAGCTTCAAAAAACTAAAATAAAAGCTTCCGGAAAGATTTTTCATTTTAAAATACATTTTCATCCTTAGATATCGCATTTTGGGTGTACCTAGTTCTTTGATATACCATGCCAAGTTTTGGTATGTATATATTTTCTCCGGTATTTTATCAAACATTTTAACAGGCTTTATTCAAGGTTTTATGATGAAACAAAATGCGTAATTTTTTTTATCTGTTTCCGGCTGGCCTCGCGTTTTTCTGCCGCTAATCCTCGACGCTGGATTAAAAATAGATGTTTTTGCAAATGTAGCTTAATTTTCTCTTCACCAGATAACACGTAACTATTTACACTGTTCAGACCCTTGTCCTCATCTTTATTGCCATATTCACGATGTTCTGGCGGTTGTACGCTCCGGCCTTAATTCACCCCAAGCAAGGCGATAAAGCCACTAAGATGCAAGGGGGGTGTTACTAAGAGCGCAAGAAAAATTTATTAATAACAAAGGACAATAAAAGAACAGGATTCAAGGAGACAAAAGATTTTTGAAAATCAGAATTGACAGAAAAGCAAGAAGCTGGAAGAGCGTTCCATAGGCCAAAAGTAAGAGAAAAAAAAATACTATTTATATTATTCGAATTGCTGTCCTCATCTTTATTGCCATATACAGGACGTTTCAGCCATTGTACGTTCCGGTCTTCTTCAGATGATATTTCATGGAATTTTGAACCGAACTCTTTAGTTAGTTCACTTTTTATAACTGTCTGCATATTTTGGTATGTCGGGTCCATACCAAACCGTCAACATCTATCTATATTTCTGAGATGAGGTATTGTAAACATTTACAGTATTTACATTATTCGGACCGGTGCTTTCAGCTTTATTGTCATATTTACGACGTTTCGGTGGTTTTACGTTCCGGCATTCTTCAGGTGACTGGAATTTCGAACTGAAACCTTTATTTCGGCTACAGGGTAGATGAGGAAGGCCAGGGAGTACAACGGCCGAAATGTCGTGAATATGGTAGTAAAGATGAGAACAACAAATAAATAACAGTCCGTACAGTATAAATAATGTAAGTAATTACATCTCAGAAATATAGACAGATCCTGAAGAAGGCTGGAACGTAAGACGGTTGAAACGACGTGAGGGCAACAGTCCGAATAATGTAAACTCATCTCAAAAATATATAGAGAGATAACACCCCCTTTAAGATGAAATAATTTAATCGTGTAAGCCGATTTAGATGTGTTTATTACACCATGTCGAGGAACCCTAAGTGCACTAATCATATGACCGTTGACCATTTACGATCGTCGATCCGAACACACATACACAGGCAATAACAAAACAGTTGCTACTAACTGCTGACCAACGATTACTGACATCATGTTGTATTGTTGTACAAATAGCGGAGAAAAACACTAAGTCGAAATCTACTGACCAGGGTTCAGGATGTAGCGTCAACTCACCCACAGACGGTAAGCGAACACACGAACACAATTAAAATCGACATATTCACTGACACCAATATAGATAAGAAAATGCACGATTCTCTTCACTGGACAGGAGTCGGCAACCCACGGCACGCGTGCCGCATGTGGCACGACAAGCAATTTCCAATGGCACGCAGCTGTTTCAGTATCTGTCTATATTTCTGAGATGAGGTATTATGTACACTATTTACATTATTCGAACCATTGTCCTCATCTTTGTTGCCATCTTTATAACAACGTTTCGGCCTTTCAGTATCTGTCTATATTTCTGAGATGAGGCATTATGTACACTATTTATATTATTCGGACTATTGTCCTCACCTTTGTCGCCATATTTATTACAACGTTTCGACCTTTCACTATCTGTCTATATTTCTGAGATGAGGTATTATGTACACTATTTTCATTATTCGGACGTCTTCATCTTTGACGCCATATTTATTACAATGTTTCGGCCCTTCAGTATCTGTCTATATTTCTGAGATGAGGTATTACGTAAACTATTTACATTATTCAGTCTATTGTACTCATCTTTGTCGCCTTTATTTCAACGTTTCGACCTTTCAGTATCTGTCTATATTTCTGAGAAGAGGTATTATGTACACTATTTACATTATTTAGACTATTGTCCTCATCTTTGTCGCCATATTTATTACAACGTTTCGGCCTTTCAGTATCTGTCTATATTTCTGAGATGAGGTATTATGTACACTATTTACATTATTTGGACTATACCAGTAATAAGGAGCGCCAGAGAAAAGCGATAACAACAAAAATTTCAATATGAGCTCTGGTAAAAACATGTAATGATAACAACAAAAATTGCAATATGAGCACTGGTAAAAAAGTAGTTGCTGAAGACATTAGGTTTATAATACCCAGAAATTCATGCACAGAGCTCCTCAAAGAAATCATGGCACAGTGGATAAATGCGTTAGTTAGATCCAGTGACAGGAGCCAAAGAGTGTGAGTTCAATACCTGGTTAAAGCAGTGGAGAACCTGGAGAAGGGAATTAACAGGAGATAACTG